ACACACACACACACATACGTAAACATCAAGTTTGGTAATGTCTCACATTAATCAAAAAAATAAAGCATTCCTTTTGTTTACTTCTGTGCCATATGTAAAAAAAAAAAAAACCTTAAATGCCTGTACAGACCTCTGACATTTATGGTTTTTAAATTCCCACACAGCATTACTTCTTGCAGCTGCAACTGTTCCTCCTCCATAGGCGCATATATTCAACTGGGTTTTCAGATCCAAAAGATATTATAATCATTCCCATTGATGATAGATGAAGATTTTTTTTCGGCATGTCATTCCGACAATATCTCCTATACAATATGTTTCAATATGTTTCAAGTACAGATAAAGTCTTAACCTATAACCTTCTTCCTACTTGAACAATAGCAAAGATGGTGAAGCATGAATTTGTTTCTGTCCTTCCATACCACTTTAACCAGCCTCAACTACATGCACTGAACTTAAATCACAAATGCAGAATAGGAGACAGGGTTATATAATCATAGGAAAAACATTGCTGAAAAAACTGGTTTTTGAAGAGACATTTTGAAGGTTTTCTTTGAGCTTATTGCTCACAGTGATGTTATCAGATATTGAACCACTGAAATTCAAAATTGGTAAAGTGGGAGGAGAAAGTAGCTTGCATAGAGCTGCGAGCAGGGTAAAAACTACTATGGCTGACAGTGATAGGCTGAAAAAGCTGTCAGTCAAGCAAGAATGCCCCAAAATTGTACAGTAAATGCCATCTACAGTAGGTGTTCTAAGTTCAAAGAGAATCCCTGTTGTGTTTTCAGGTTTGAGAAGCCCTTTATTTTTAGCTGCTAATTGAGCCTCTGGTAACATGGAGTAAAGAAAAAAAACAAGACATTTTAGAAGCACTTGTACCTTCAATACCACTGAAATTATCTGAAGTGTACAGAGTACTGATGTTTTGTCAAAACTGCATTACAAATGAAATGCACTTGAGAGTAAGAATTACCACAGGCACTTGACTTTCTTTTTCACCAGTTGTTGAGCACAAATCTCATCTAAAAGTATTATATCCTCTTCTTTTCAATGCAACGGCAAAGATCTAACACAGTATGACATCCTTGCACAATGTCTTTTTGTAAGGTACATTGACCAGGAAGTTAAAGCACCATAAAGCACAAGCTTTATGGGCAACTTAAGTTCAATGACCCTTGACGCTTGGAGCTGCACACTCTAGGCTTCCCGTAGTCCTTCAGTAAAGTTAACAATGTTTTCTGACCTTCCTGAAGCTTTGGAAATGTGATTAAAGTTAGGATTTGATTTACATATTTATGTTTATTTAGACTTGTTTTAAATTCTAGTGCTATCGTGAAGTCCAGGTAAGCTGTAAAATATTAGATGAAAAATTAAATCATAGAATATATTTATAGTCCTATGTTGCTTCTTTTTACACTGTTGTATATTCAAATTGGAAAACACATATGATTACATTTTAATAAACTGAACTTTATATTTTCATACTACAGCAATTAAATGTATTTAAACACACAAATATTAAATATTATTGGTGCATATTCTACTATTGAAATAGAGTGTTAAAAGAGTGTTATCAATTGATAAAAAACTGACATGTAGAACGACACGTTATTTGTTCTCCCTGGTACAGAAATGGCAACAGCAAGTGTCCAATTTTGAAACAGAACATTTACACCTTAGGCACTATTAAAAAAACTGAAAAACAAAGTCATGTGAAGCTGGTCAGCTATAGCCAAGAGGATATATCTCGGAGTTAGCAGTTAGCCATGCAACCAGTT